CCCTTACACCCTACAGTGAACCCCAGAAACCCTAGGGGTTTAGGGGTTCAGGGGTTTAGGGTTTAGGGTTTAGGGTTAAGGGTTTAGGGTTCAGGGGTTTAGGGTTTAGGGTTAAGAATCAGAATATAGTGAATCCCCAGAAAGTTGGAACATGGATTTAGGATGATTAGAGCTAGGATACCTGATACTCTACCTCAAGGGCACGAGGATAATGATGTTCCAACTTTCTGGCTTCTGCTGTTTATCGTAAACCCGCAAGAAGAGGCGTCTCTCGACTTCGGATTGGGGGCTTGGGTGTGCCCAGCTTTCTTTGCCAACTCTTCCCGGCACCTACGACCTGGAAGGCTTCGACAGAAATCCCGGAAAACTCGAGCCCCAACCAAGGCCCGAACCCTACGGCCAAACTCTTGTACCCCTGCACTAAACCTCTTGAGGCCGAAACTCGGAACCCTAAACCAAAACAGTTCCGAACCCCTAAACTAACACAATTAAATCAATCCGAAACCCTCATGCCTTCAGGCACGGATGCCGAAGTTGTGGCCGCAGCCTGCGGCGGCCTCGCCGTGATGGATCGGGAGGCGTTCGCGGGATGGCGGTCGTTTCACACAGGGGGCCTCAACATAATTAGTGGTACTATTCCTTCAGGGTTCCTTATTCCTTCTTACAGATACTTTAGTGCACCTCAACAATTGTACTAAAATCATCAGGGCCCCCATGGCTTGGGGGCAAGTTTCTGCTTGGCGTATGAACCCTACGACTACCCAAGAAGCTTGCTAAAAGGAACCCCAGTCGCTGGGCCCCACGGAGAGAGACCCAGGCAGGCGCAGTCGCTGAGTTGCTGGCGCACAAGGACGGCCGTGTGAAGGCCAGCCCAAGTGCTTTGTTAAAACGGGAATTATTGCCCTTATACCGCGGGGACCGTTTGCCCTAAACCCTAAGCCCTAAACCCTTATACCGCGGGGACCGTAAAGGGTTCAGGGTTTAGGGAACTTAGGGTCTATTGTGGGTTTTTGAGGGCTTTGGTCTAGGCTGTAGGCGAAAGCACAAGAGCGTGCCCAATCAATAGGGTTTAGGGACAAGGGTTTAGGGTTTAGGGTTTAGCTTTTAAGAAACCTTCATCAAGTGTGCTGGACAGCCACCCAACCGAGCCCTAAACCCCCATACCCTAAACCCCAACACCCTAAAGGCCGTAAAGATCATAAACCCCTCAACCCCTCAACCCCTCAACCCCTCAACCCCTAAACCCCTAAACCGCTAAACCCCTAAACCCCAAAACCCTAAACCCTAAACCCCTAAAGACCCCTAGAGCAAACCCTAAAGACGCCGAAGGCCGACAGGTCCCTACCCTTCAAACCCTAAACCCTAAACCCTAAACCCTAAACCGTAAACCCCAAGCCCCAAACGGGTTTAGGGTTTAGGGTTTAGGGTTTAGGGTTTAGGGTTTAGGGTTTAGGGGGCCCCAAACCCTAAACCCTAAACCCCTAAAGACCCCTTAAACCCTAAACCCTAAATCCCAAACCCTATCCCATGATCCTCCCATGTACCATGCCTTCAAACCTCTGTCTGGTGCTTAGTAGGGAATGGGGGAATGGATCCCTATGATAAACCCCTAAACCCTAAACCCTAAACCCTAAACCCTAAACTCTAAACCCTAAACCCTAAACCATGGCTCTGCCCATTACCCTACTAAGCACCGGACAGACCTGGGAAGCCGCAGGCCGCTGCGGCGGAGGCCCTGAGAGACATGACCGGCGCCGAGGATCCGAGCTCGCTGGGTTTAGGGTTTCCTTTAAAAGGGTTCCTTAAAGGGCCTCTATAAGGACTACTAGGTTTAGGGTTTCGGGGTTATAGGGTTTATAGGGTTTGTAGGGTTTCGGGGTTTAGGGTTTAGGGTTTAGTTCGGGTTTTTGGGTGTCGGATTTGGGGTTTATAGGGTTTGTAGGGTTTCGGGGTTTAGGGTTTAGGGCTTAGTTAGGGTTTTTGGGTGTCGGATTTGGGGTTTAGGGTATAGGGTTTCGGGTTTTAGGGTGTCGGATTTGGGTTTTTGGGCTTCGGATTTGGGGTCTAGGGTTTAGTTAGGGCTTTTGGGTGTCGGATTTGGGGTTTGGGGTTTAGGGTTGAGGGTTTCGGATTTTTAGGGTTTCGGGTTTAGGGGTGTAGGGGTTTGGGGGTTTCGGGTTTAGGGCGTCGGATTTGGGGTTTGGGGTTTAGTTACTGTTTTTGGGTTTAGGGTGTTGGGGTTTAGGGTTTCGGGGTATAGGGTTTCGGGTTTGGGATTTAGGGTTTAGTTACTGTTTTTGGGTGTAGGGTTTTGGGTAAATAATTACCTACAGTATTTTGGGGGCTCCTTATTATAATTAGAGTGTAAGATACTCCCAAAACCCTATTCTAATCATTCAGGCCCCTACCCCCTAAGCCACTACAGCAGCCCTTATGGAGCCCTTTAAGGAGCCCTCTAAGGGATACACCTCAAAACCCCTATTCCAATTAAACCCTAAAC